AAATGGTTAAAAGGGGTAAATCTGTTAACAATGTGAGTTTTTTTTTTTTATTTTTTTAATTTTTTATTAGCATGAAATAATGCTAATATTATGTTACTGTGCAGGGTTACAACAACTGGACCAATGGCTTGTATGGTTACTCTTGGGACATGATGGTTCACTCCCGCAGCCATCAGCATGTTAAGATCACCTACAAAGATGGAAAAACTGGAGAAATAGGATATCTGAACCCAGGGGTGAGTTTCAGGGAAAACACTGGCAGATAAAGACAACGCGATAATTATATTAAATCTATTTATTTGTCTTGGCTTTACAATATATCAGTGGTTAACAACATCTGAGCTTAAGTCATGTTAACAGAACAGTTTTAAATGATTTAGCTGATGACTATCACAGTTTTACTTTTTCCTTATCACCGTTCATCTGTTTGCATTTCAGTGTGGCTGATTTCCTGATAAAGTAATAATGATGTCTGTGTACTGTAGGTGTTCACACAAAGCCGTCGGTGGAAAGATCACGGAGACATGCTGAAGCAATACGCCACGTGCCTCAGTCAGTTCCTGCCTCGCTATAACATCTCTGATCCTGAAATTTACTTTGACATCTGGGTGTCTATCAATGAACGCTTTCAGCAAAGGTATGAGAGCAAAAGACATTATTAATGAGTGATAATTTCTTCAGATGTATGCAATGAATGTTGAAATGATTTGCTCTTGACTCACCTCTAAGGATCTTTGATCCCCGTGTGGACATTGTGAAAGCTGATTGGTCGCCTTTCCAAGCAAACCCGTGGCTGATGCCTCTGCTGGTGGATCTCTCACCCTGGAGAACCAAGTTCCAGGAGATTGAGGGCAGTTTGGACAATCAGACTGAGATCGTCTTTATCGCTGATTTCCCAGGTTTGGAAAGTCTCCTTGTCCTATCTATCCTTCCAGAAGAAAAGTTTGTTTGTGTACCCTTATTCATTCTTGTTGCTATATGGGCTGCCTTTGTAATAACTGACAGAATTTTACCTTTTAGGTCTCCACTTAGAAAACTTTGTGAGTGAAGATCTGGGCAACACCAGCATCCATGTGTTGCAGGGCAAGGTGAACATAGAGATATTGGAGGAGAAAAAGAACTTCAGCCTGCAGCCTGGTGAGCAGATAAAGGTACGGCTACACACCATCATCACTGTTAACATTATAACCTGTCTAACCTGAACACAACAAGCTTTTACAATAATGTGAATATGTGTATGTGTGTAGGTACCTGCTGGGGCTTATCATAAGGTGTACACAGTGTCAGAAGAGCCTTCTTGCTACATGTACATCTATGTCAACACTACAGAGGCGGCTCTACAGGAGAACTTCACCAAACTGTTTGAGCTCCAGGAGCGCATTCGCAATGGGACAGGTGAAAATGTGTTTTCCAGGAGGGGTAGTTCTTAGTAGTGGAATATTTATAAAAAAAAAATTGGATCCAATGCAAACTTGGTTTTAAAAAAAAAAAAAAAAAGGTAGAGTAAAAGTATCTCCATATGTCCTGGCACATATTTTATTTCTTTTTCTTTTTTTTTCTTTTTTTTCCATATTCTTTGTTGCTGAAGAGCTCAAAAATCATCAGATGCTGATGCAATTTTCATCCCACAGAAACCGAGCCTCTCCCTCCTGAGCTGCAGCCTCTTGTTGCTGCAGATCTGGAAGGGGCAGAGGTCAATGCCACGGACCCGATTGTGCGGCTGTTCCTGAAAAGGCAGCGCCGCATGAAGGAGGTGAAGAAACGCAGGGAAGCCAGTGTGCTGGAGCGGCTGGAGCGGTTTGCTGTAAAAAAGTACTATACGATACGGAGAGGGTGAGTATTATCAGCGTGCCACAGAAATTGTCCAACCAACCACTTAAATCATCTGTGAACTGACTATCGTATTTACTATGTCTCCCTTTTCTTTAAGATTCTTGATGACAGCCATTGCTATGAGGAACCTGGCGGTGGGCCTGCCTCCTCTGGAACAGCTGACAAGAGAAGTTGCCTTTGCCAACATGAAAGAACCTCAGGCTGAAGCCAACCAGGACGAACGACTCAAAGACGAAGTTGGTCACGGAGAACTTTAAAGCTGCAGATGGGGCCAGAGATACTCTGCTGAATTGCCTCCAGGTGCTGGATCACATATTGCTAAGAAATGTGTGTGTTATTATTACTACTGGACTGTTACTACCCTGGGACATTCCTGCCCAGAAATCAAAGATTTTTTTTTTAAATTTTCTATGCTTCTGAAATATTTGGCATTTCAGATTATTTCCACAATTTTGTTATAGCATTTGTTTATGAATCTCAGTTTTTGCTGAGGACACACTTTTATTATAGCCACAGCAAAACCAGAATACTGTATGTTAACAGATATGCAGTGCTTTGCCTTGCGAGATTACATTTTATGTTTGTTTAGGAATTTTATAATTGCATTATTGCTGAGTGATATGACCAAAAGAAGAGAGAATTTAAAAATCAGCACTCTGTGACGACTACAAGTTTGCTTTTACAAGTGATCTGATGGAGGATCATATTTTAACTACACTAAATCATTAATGCTGCTTTGTTTGGAATGAAGATGAAGAGCAGAGGTGGAAACGTGACTGATCACTGGCTGTACAAGTATTTAAAGGGGACAGATTTTAAAGAACATACTGACATCAAAAGGATCAGGTTGGTCGACTCCTGTTGGTACAGTTTCATTTTATTGCTCTAATTTGAAAAAATATGGCTAAATAATTTACAATTGGCAGGTTTACAAATCCACAGTACATGTGGAAGTTTACAGTGATTTCAGGGAACATACTTCTCTGAGCTATTATGCTAACCCTATAATGTGATGAAACAGAAAACAATTGTTAGCTTGTCAGTTAACGGCCTTTTTTAGTCACTTTTCTAATAAAGAGCTTATGGTGTTCAATAAACCTGAAATTATTTTAATTAAAAATCAACTTGAACTTTCAGTCTGACAACGGTGGTTTGTGGAAAAATGAATTTTAATGGTGTCAGTATTTTTACATGTCGTCCATTTTAAAGTGCTACAGTAGAATTCCAGTGTTCACTGTAGGTTGACATTATGGCACATTAATCATAGTTTTCACATAATCAAGAGTACAATGTTACACAATATAAATACATATAAATCTACAAGATGGATGTCTAGGAAATGATTTACTTTGTACTTTTGTTTAGTTGAGGTTAAGTGTTCAAGAGTCATTTAATGTAAATGTTTAGTGATCACTGCTCAAGTGGAAGTCCAGTCACATTGGAAAACAGTAAAGGCAGGTCAGACAAGTACTGTCCATGAGGTGACATGCAACGTAATGCTTCACTACAAGTCATTTACAGAGTTGACAAGAGGGGATGATTTGTAGTTTAACAGACAATCATTTACATACACACAACATAAACACTTTGTATTTTATTTCATATTGCACAGTATTGTACTGGTTGTGTTTTTAAATCGCCATATCCCTTTACACGATGGGTGACTATGCCTCTAATCACCACAACTGAAAAACTGACCTTCTATAGTATGTGTAAATTCAACATGAAATGTAAAATGACTGGTGTTAGTGTTAGATACTGGCCTGTAGCAAGTGTTATCATTAGTCTTTCCTGAACACAAATCAACACAATCCTTATTTCCATTACACAAACCGAAACCTTGATGTGAAAACTACCTGCACCTACAGCTACCCAGGCAGAGTCTGACGCTGGTTTTCATGAGATTTGGGACAATATAATAGAAACAGACTTGTGTCAACTATCGTCAGTATTTAAAGGATTTCTGCTTTTGATTTAATGATTAATAGAGCATAATTGTGCACAGACTATAACTACATTAAAATGTCCTTCAATTTTTCTTTATAGTCTAAGTAGGAGAGAGGTCATGTGTAGTGTGGAATTGCAATAGCAGTTCAAACCCTGTGATTTTGCTCATATCTCACTGCTTCCCTCCCTCATATGTCATGTGGGCAGAGCTGTAGAGGGAGGAAGATATCCCAAGTGAAGAAAGCGCTGAGGCATGAGTAAGAGACGGACAAGTCACCTTAATTCTGTCCTTATTGCTGTGTCAACATCCGTTTTCTGCAACTCCGGTGACACCAATCTCAAGGTAAACATGTCTTTCCTTACTAAAGGTTATGCCACATATTTCTATACAGTGTGGTTACATTTCAAATTGGCTCTGTGCCCAAACCCTCGAGCTCCTGACCAGATCAAACTGAGCTGCCCGCCCAGAGCTTGCTAACACTATAATATTCCTTAACAGACATCTAATGCTCAATGAAGGCCCAAATCACTGAAACAATCTCCTCAAAAAGCTCCAATCATTGCCCCCCTATCATGTAGCACATTGCTGTCAATTCTCCCAGAATGCCCTCTTTCAAACATTCATCCACGTTGTCCCTCTACACTCCCTCAGCTGGCTCCATTTGGCAGCTCAAAACAGATCCAATGTGGTGGCACCTCCCTGTTTGCAGGCCATGGTCCAGCTCCACACTCCCAACCCTGCGATTTGTCCTTACAGGCCAAAAAGAACGCTTCTCTGGCAAACCTTTAGTCCAGCTGGTTTCCTTCTGGTTCCCCAGAGCTGGAGAACCATTCAAAATGTTATGGTATTGGCAAACTAAACGCTCAAAAAAAAAAATTCTACTTTCCTCCTGTTTATATCTTCAGTTTTTACCCTAAATGTTTATTTCACTCATGAAAATAAAAGATAATTTATTACTATGTATTAAGCTCTATCATTCCTGAAATAATTGATAATATCTTTTCCTAATTATTCTGATTGTAATGTCTCAAAACATTACAACATTAACGTGTCGATCTGACTCAGTTAAATTTTTAACAAACTATTTTCGGAGGAGAATCTGGCAAATTTATTGAAATATGGGTCAACAATATGGATGTTAATAACAACTGAGGGCAACAGATTATAATTTTATGTTGTAAAAAGTGGTGCCAGTGATTTATTGAGAGATTAGGCATCCTTTTTTTTTTTTTTTTTTTAAATGTATGGATTTTTGTTATAAGCTTTGGGAAATATAAATGAGGCTCAGTTTATTATAACATGTTATGTCCTTGCTGATGCACACCTAAAATGGTGTGAAAATATGAAGCATCCGTTTGTAGAGGTATTTCCTCTTATCAGCTCTGCACCCCTCTACCTTGGTTGAAGATCTGGGTAGAAAACTCCATGTATCACACCTTCAATCACAACGTTAGAAAATGCATCTGAAAGTTAAAAAGAAAAGAGAGGTTTTAAAATCAAAAGATAAGGTGAATAAGAAGTGCATGCCCACTTTATAGTTAATTTACCATAATTAAATAAGGAGCCAGAACTCACCACGCGCAGATGGCAGCAGGTAGGGGTCTCTCAGAAACAGCAGGACTGGCTGATGTGAAAGTTTGCTGAAAAGAGTCAGAAAAGGGGAAGTCACAGTGTTTTTTGGGAAGCTACATATACATAACGGCATGAAGACACAGGTGGTGTCCACTGACATGCTGGGTAAAGTTCAAGTGCAGAGCAAATAATGACTGAGGTTGGTTAAAGTGCAAAGCATGAACCTGACCTGCTGTTTCATTCAATAGTTTTTAAAATATTCACTGAAACAGGAAACAAAATGACTCACCTGGATTCCTCCGATTCCGTATCAAATGACCTTTTAAAGAAGAAAAAAGACATGAACCTTCTAGCAGCCTGGGAACAAACGAAAAATGCCACAAATTGGTCTTTTATTTTATAGAAGAGCTGCAGTTTCAACTCACCCACAGCTTTCTGTTTTTGGCACTGAAGGAAAGTGGCGGATATTCAGGAAATCCAGGAATATCTTTGGAAGAACCTCATTTTCCATAATTACAGTCTGACCAAACAGACAAAACAAAAGCAAATTGCAATGTGTGTTTGAAGCAGCAGCACTGAACTGCGTGACTTTTTGAATGTGTTTAACTGTTCTACATTTGTACTTTTGTTTTGGGTTTGACAAAATTTGTACTTGGTAAAAGCAGACAGACTGTGTGCACGGCAGTTTTTAGGTCAGAGAAACAGTCTTAGTAGGTGGAGTGAAGGTTTGAGTACCTGCAGGTAGAGCTCCAGACCTTGTCTCCTCTGCTCCAGGACTTTGGGGACCCAGTTTCTAACATGCTTTGAAGGGATCTCAGGTGGTTTTATGCTCTTCTTCAGCTGGATGGATTTAAAAACATCATTAAAATATATACACGGCAGCATTTACATGGTTAGAAGAAAAATAAGAGTAAGAGTCTAGTAAGAGTGGAAAATTGTCTTTGGCTGCAACACACGGTGTTAAATACAATAGGACAACTGATGATAAAGAGACAATGAGGACAACAAATGGCAGGGACACATTATCAACAAACAATAAGGTTTAAAATGAAAAAATACAGTATAAACTGCTTATAAAATAACACAAAGAGGTGCTTTGAGCTAAATGCTCAGACATCCCACTATGGCATTTTAACATGCAATTTTTTAAAATAAAAACATTAGAAAAATCAATCCAAGGACCCCGAAAGGAAAACGGCTAAATGGAATTCAACCGTCAATCATTTTATTATTTACAACTGTGCTTCTCCTATTGTGACATGTCAAAATGTCGGCCGTTAAAAACGTCCATACAGCAGGTAAAGATCCAGCCAAACAAATGGACTATTGCGAGAGACAGGAAGAGGAATTTATCAATGAAACTACAACCACAAACCACCATGGTTAACCTCCATGAATCTATTATTTATTAGCATGCCAACAGTATTCACATTTGAATTTTCCACCAGTAAATAGGTAAATAGGGAAAAATGTTTTTGAATGTTCCTATTTCTTGCATCTGTCTTTTTGTGTTTTTTTCCTCCAATTATGATCATGAAATCTCACCATTTTATGCAAGGCGTGGAATTCGCTGTAGCGTTTCTCAAGCGTGTGCTGTCGGCCATTCATCAACACGTCAATTTTAAATACCTGAAAGACGGAAAAAAGTTAGTGCTACTTCTTGAGAGTCAGTTGAGGGAGTCGTGACTTATCACCAGAGTCCATCAGCCAAAAATGTCCCCTCCCACTTCAAACAGTCATTGTGTGACTGATTGATCAGCTGAGCGAGTGTCAGTCACTGTCAGTTACTGTTGATGTCAGCTAGTTGCAAAGAGGAAACATCTGGCTGATGGAGTAGTAAAAAGAAGATCTGTCAGAGTTACTGTTAACATAATTAAACAGACTGTCCTCTACTTCCGTCACTCGGCTGAACTCTTCTGTAAAAGTGTCACTTTTACTGCATGCACGTCACTGTTCTTACCAACATTTTGTAAAGGAGGAAATCCACTCTTAAATGCAATTCTGGACTGGTTATATAAACACAAATGACTACATCTCCGAAGAAAGAGAGCAAACAAGTAATAGTTTATTAACAAAGCCAGGAACAGCAGTGACTTCACTGTGGAAAAGGCAAAGGAATGTGAAATCAAGTGATGAAAATGTTTATTTTGTTCATAGCATTTGCCTCTTGTAATAATTTAATAATCTTTTTTCTATTAAACAGCACTTGAACATCTCCCTCTAAACCACAGACATTAAAATGTTTACTCTCTTTTAGGAACCCACATGATTTTGGAACTTGGCTGCAGGGATTTGCTCCCATTCAGCCATTTCTTTTTGTGCACATGAGGTAATGTGTTAAACCAGGAAACAGTCTGACCCAGACACAAAAGATGATTGAAAGGACAAAAAAGAGAAAATAAAGCTATTCACTTCTTTTGCTTTTTTAGATGCCACTATCATGTCTGTATGAACAATCTCTGGCTAGGACTAGCAGCCAGTTCGTTCAGCTATGGGAAACTAGCTGAAATTCAAATGGTTCCTTTAAGTTTGGGATAATTAGGGAACTGAAATTGAGTCTACTCTGTATCAGCAGGCATCCTGATTTGAGGTATCAGAATTGTGACTCATGTATGACAGAAAGCCTGTGTTACAGCAAGAGGAATGGGGTTTGACAGAAATGGGGTAATGTTTTTCTTTTTTCTTTTAAATCAGTCTTTATTTATGTCAGGCAGCTGGGGATCCTGTGATCTGGTGACCAGGCAGGGCCGGGTCGGTTTACATGCCCTGTGGCTCTTTAATGACATATAAATTAAGAAGTGAGTGTAAACGCGACATGCTGAAGGCCTAAAGATTCTCTGATCAGTCGAGCTGAACAGTTTCATGTTTACAATGTGCAACAACAAGGCGAAGTCAGAGCTGGTATGAGGCATCTCAACAGTGGGTAAACACACAGACAACTTTAAATGAACAGCGACATTTACGCTGCTTAATATAATGTCATTATTATTTCAAGGGTAAAGAAATACCACGACAGATAACATTACAAACTGATGACAGCAGCAGAGGGGACTATAGACAGACACACAGACAGACAGACAGACAGACAGACAGAGGTTATTACTGAGCAGCTTACCGTGTATCCTCTCTCGATCGAGTTGTTCTCTGAACGAAACGACGGAATCGACACCCTCACCGGATGCATTTCGACTTGAAAAACGTGTAGTTTTGAGAATAGTATTTAATCCTCTGGCACATATATACACACACTCAAACACACACACACTCTCTCTCCCTGCTGGTGGTTTACTCCGGTTTCTCTGGCAGCCTGATAAAAATCACAGAGTTCAAATAAGCTGACAAAGCCTCAGTGGCGCGCCCTGGTGGAGCGGAGGGTGGCGCAACAGACTGAACAGGCTGAAGTAATGTTATGTTTTACTCTAACGTTGTGTAATGCAGACCGTGCTCCAAATGTCTGTTGTCAACTGTTCAAATATTGTTTGTGTTGCAAAGAAGAAAATGTTACATACATTCTGCTTCATGGACATTATTTAGAAATCCTTTTTTTTACCTTCATCATTGTAGTATGAAGCAGTAATGGCTGATTTCATCAGGCCACGTTGATGGTTCGCTTAAATTTGTTTGAGGTAGTGCTGAATACATTATTCGATTGGTTATTGATTAGTTGATCAAAAGAAAATTGGTGACATTTTAAGTCCCTGTATTTATGAGAAAGTTATAGTTGTTAATAAATACACTGATAAACAGTTAAATCTGCTTATAAATATATTGCAGTGAGTTGAACATATTTTATTAACTGTGTAGGCCTATATACTGCTTATAAGTGTCACCAACAGTTTCAACTTATTGTCTGAAGTTATTTATTGAAGATGCATCCCATCACTTTTAGACATCAATATTAGCTAACAAATGGTACTGAGCCTGCCTGTGAAAACAATGATAACAGTAATAATCCAAGTCAGCATATAGCAGTCTCTGCTACTTGAGTTTTGACCATTGTTTTTATAACTTGTCTCTCACAGGTCCCCCATCTTTATGAAAGTAAATGCAAAATGCTCAAAAATAAATAGATACAAATTCTGGTTCCAGCTTCTTACAGTAAATGTCAGGATTTGCTTCTTTTCTCTGTTTTACAGTGTGTGTGTGTGTGTGTGTGTGTGTGTGTGTGTGTGTGTGTGTGTGTATGTGGCAAAGACAATAAACAATGAAAAAGGGGTAAGAAACAAAGGTGAGTCAGAGACAAAGAGGTGACTTCAAACTGATCGGTCTAAAACAGCGATATAATATCACAAAGTTTTATTCAAGTTTCATCAAAAGCTTTGGAGTAAAGAGAGTTTCTTCCGTTGCATATAAATATAACAAATACATTTTCCTTTAAACAAGTGGTTCATTTTAAAATTGTGATATAACTGATATTGACCTAACAATGAGGGCAAGCCGGCTTATGTGTGTATTTAGCTATTTTAGGCCTCTAAATTTCATCTAACTATCTTAGAAGCAGTATGAAATGCAAGCATACAGTACAATGCAATAGAAGTAAGTAAAATGAAAAAAATCTCAAAGAAAAGTTAAGAGAAGAATATACTTTTCACTAAGGAGAAGAAAAAAAAACTACTTTCCCACACAAGAAAAGAATTCAAAATTATCTGGCACTATGAAGACAGATTTCTAAATTGAGAGTATTTTAAATTATAAAATGAATGCAAGTCTTACGAATTTTATGTTTTTTTAATTTTTTTTTTATGTTTTCATATGCAGTCCTCTTCATTGTCATTTACAGAACGTCTCAGCTGAGCTACTGTGAATGACTCAGCTCTTAATACCTGAAAAAATATATGTAAAAGAATTAAAACACTGACAAATCAACAGGGAACACAAAAAATAAAATAGAAATATTTGTCAGCTGACACATGATACTTACGATGACATATGACAACCTGACACGTAGGCGTAGTTGCCAGTGTAGCGAACATCACAGCGCACATTGTTGTTGCTGTAGTCTGATTCTGGGACCTGATAGTATGGATTTACACTGATCTGTGGAGAACAACAACAACAAAATATATAAAACTATAAGAATCAATAGTGGCAGCAAAGATAACAATCAAATGTTGATGAATGCAATGTGATTCCTCAGAAGTGTAACTCTTTTAAAGGGTTTTTTTGTGTCTCAAGGAGAGGCCAAACATCATCTGGTATTTCTGACGAACCTTGAGGACATAGTTTCCAGGTTTCACATCTGTGATGTCAATCCACTGGCAGTCAATGTCTGCGTTGTAGGTATCATAGCATCCTGGGCTCAGACCCTGGACATTGGACAGCATCAATATAAAACATTATATAAACAAAAACAAACTTCTTATTAAACAATACAAGGCTGTTGTACATATAGAACAGTAACTGTAACTTTAAAAATGTTTTTAATGCTATTACAGTCTAATATCTAATGATGAAAATTAAAGGTTATAATTAAAAGGAAAGTAATTAGCGTAGAAGTGGTTTTGGATTCAGTGCCAAAAAAAAAAAAAAAAAAAAAAAAAAAACAAGAAAAGAAAAAAGTAGAGAAATAAATCAGCCACTCAAAATACAGGGAAAAAAAGAGCAGGATGGAAAAAGAGAACATGTGCAAAACAACTGACATTCAGGCAGGTGGGGTCATCTTACACAAGAAACAGGAAATCATTAAATCACCATCACTACTGGCTCATGCTAAAAAGGAAATACTAAAGCTGTTTTCTAAAAGACAGCTGCTTCAGTAAAAGAGCACTTGTTTATTTTAGCTCCACTCTCCTTTTTTTTTCTTTTTTATAAAATGTAAGAACCACAAATCCTACGACCAAATCTTTGAGTGAAAAGCAAGTCAGTAAAGTTGTTGAACTGGCATTTCAAATATGCCTTTTTTGTAGAGGATATTTTGGAAAATCACAAGCGTAAATAATATGAAAAATTCCTTTTTTTCCTGGGTATTGTTCATGCTGGCTCACTGTCACGCTGGCATGGCTTACTGTGAGAAGAATAGAGCCACCATTATGAGTAAGAACATCAAAATGTCTGCTGTGAAAATGGTCTATTGGTCTGCCGACAGGCTGCTGGTACAACGTACAACATGGACAGTCGGCACTATGAAAGATGACTTGAATATGAACATATTGAACATATTGAATTAATGATTAGCCTCTTGTCTTTTTGGTCGTTGCGCACATTTTTAAAACAAATGCCCTGTTAACTGTAACTGTAAAAATATGCGTCTCTGTCCAGAGTGTGGATATTTAAGGCTTAACTTTAACTTAAAATCAGTTATAACAGTTTTTTTGGATAGTTAGATGTTGTTTATTTACAGCAGAGGCTAGCGGATTGAGTCAGAATTAATAGGCGCTAAGTGGCTAAAATGAGGCTAAACCTCATAAAGTTGATATGGTGAACTTGTTAGCAAACATTTGCATAAAAAACACAACCTGGAATAAAATTATGATTAGTTTGGAATTGTTTTTCTGGCCACCTATTCACTCTCCTTTTAGCTCTGTTTTGGTCTCCACCATCTCTATAGGGAAACACCTGGTTCTGTAGCCATAAATACTCCACTGTCTTCATCAAGTTGGCAACTTTGTCTTTTTTGCTGGGCAGATAGCATAGAGTTGGTTTTTAGAACTTGTTTGTCTATTGCTGTAGCTGAAAATGACACTGATGAGGGTGGTTAGAGTAAACCACAACTGATAAATCTGTTGGCTGTGAGACAAAAACAATGAGCTGAATGAAGCTGAAACGCTCCATAGAGCTGAGGGGAACTACAGAGTAAACTGATAATCCTCTGTGGTTGACTCAGTATTTACTTTTTCATATACAAGAAGTCATGTGATCCTCTGTTGATATAAAAATATTTATACGAGCAGCTTTAAAGTCAGAAATAACATTTGCAGTTTTGTTTTCAGCAGTTGTCTTTGACACCTGGGTATGTGAGGTGCAGGCATATCGCCTGTAGTATCCATAGTCACAGGACGTGTCCTCCAGGCAGAAGCTGGCCTTGTGGCCCTCAGCCACCGACCTTTGACTGGTGGCGTCCAGCAGGTCGTAGTGGCTGAACTCATCCATGCTGTGGTAGTGCCTGTGGATCAGCAGCACAGTGTTCAACAACTCCAGACATTTTTTTAACTAAACTGAGTGAGTTCCACATCAGTCTGGGACTTTTTAAAACAACCAGGGAGTGTTTTATGTTGAGAGACCCACCTAGGATTGTTTTCCTCACTGAGCCACATTTACATATTTACTGATTAACATTTAGATACATTCTGTTGGACATTTCCTAGTGTTCATTCTGACTGAAAACATCACAGGTGTTTATTTTATTTATCATTTACATGGTTACATGGACCTGCAGTGAATCTAAAACATGTTCACTCCATTATCTGAATGACAGAGTTTGTTTAATGAGATAAAAACAGCCTGGATTTTAACTTCAGTTGACTTTCAAAACACTGACAAAAAATCTATACCGTTAACATCAACATTTTATTGGACTGCTGCCAAATGTGCTCCATTTTGGGGAGTAGCACAGTGAACTGTTTGTTTCACAACATAACTATGGACTGAGGTAGTTTCTGTGGAATCAAGGGAAAACTAGGTGCTTTTCCGTAACCTCGAGAATGGGACAAAACTACCAGCAGTTTTTTGACTCATTATCTCCCACACAACTTCATTTTACAATGTCTGGCTTTGCAGTTGTAAAATGACTGAATTCAAAGGTTAAGTGGAGTTCAGGCACATCATTTGTGGAAGCCCAAAGCAGATTTTACTATCTTTATGTAGAGATTGTAAGAATAGAAAGTTAGATCTTTAAAAGTCTAAGTATACAAATAAAACTCATGTTTAGATGTCAGCTCTGATACCATAATCTCTGCAAAACAATATAACAGCCAACAAAAACTCTAAAACAGACAAAAGTAACACAACTGTGGTTCAACAGGGGGTGCCATACCACAACTACAGACTGGAAAAGAGAAATCGTGATGATGGTATCTCTTGGAAATAACTAGTTCAGCTACTTATATTTGTAATGTACACAATGATGAACAAAAAGTTTTTTATCTCCAATTAATACTCTTATGTTCAGATATAGTTTGATCTCTTCAAACCTCTCACTTCACATTCACAGCAGGATTCTCAGATCAAGTCATTGGCTGGTTTATTCATTCATGGATATTACATACACATGACTCTAATTAAATCCTTCTGGAGTCAATTAATTCATCTCTGAATACACTATGTTTTATTTACTGAGACATTACTTTATTTATATATTATTTAGAGGCAAGCTGCAAAAACCACTTTAAAGGGCTGATGTGGAGCTTTCACATACTATCTCATTCACAACCTAGAACTGTTCTATCATAATATTTTGTACAATTTTATCGACACCTGTGGTTTCCTGGTATTTGTATACTTTGTTAACTAGCACATTGGCCAGTGAGAACAAAATGATGGATTAGAATAGCAACACACCACAGACACTCTTTTCTCTGTGTGAATGTGAGGCGGACAACACTGACATGACATTACACTCACTGGTGACAGCTGTGCCACTCCCAGGAGTAGCGTGGCCTGCTGGGGAGGAAGTCGGCTGTCCCCTGGTTCTTGACTCTCTGAGGGAACCTCAGCAGCATACGGGTGTCGTAGTCTCTAACACTGGCTCTGTAGGCTGAGCTGCAGGCACAAACCAAAGAAAGAGGATATGTGTGCAGGAAAAACGAAAAGCACTGCTCATATATGGACACAGTGACATCACTAAGATTGTTTTTCATGCTACATCCCCTCCTCTGAGTGGAGCAGTGTCTGAGTGAAGTCTATGTGTCACAGTCGATGTGTAAATAAATGGTGGGTAGAAAAAAAAAAAGTTGGGGGAAAGATGGTTGTTTGGGTTAGTTTTCAATAATGTGTTTACCATCCAGGCTTTCTCCTCTCATGAAAACTATGATTAAACTTTTACAGAAATCCACGACTCCACCTCCCACCATCAGTGGAAGGATTTGGTTAATTTTACCTCATCTCATGCTTCCACAGGGCAGCCCTCACCCACAAACACTTTAGGTGGTTGTTATGGCTCAAAGCTCTCTGAATCACACTCAGACTTGGCTACAAACTCAGTTTTTTCTCCTTTCGCTGTGGATCAGTTCTGACAGCAGTCCATACCTTGACAAACAGTTTTCCTCAGCTGAACATCTCAGGTTATACATTGGGACTCTCTGGACATAAGCAGAGGCTTGAATGTAGTAGGGGTCAGGCACAAGATCAGGAAGACCTACAGCAACATAACAACAACATGATAATAGTGATATGAACTGAGTAGGACAAGCATTGAACATGAATCAACTAATAACCAATCAACAATCACTTTAACAGATGACAAATAGATACAGTATATAACAGAAAGTAGAGATAGACTTTTAACACGATAGACACACTAACTGATTAATCGATTGACCGATTGATAAGTGATTAATTGATTCAACTTTAGCATCATAAATATCCCTTTAAGAGGTAGGGTAATGACTATGCCATTAATGACTTGAATGCTGTTTCCCCACTCTTACCGTACTGATGATAACTTGTGCCATATCCGGGTCTCTGTCTCGGCATCGGTCTCTCGTAAACGTCATAATGATTGTAATATGGATTATCACTATCAATGGACTTGTAGGGGTCGTAGGGATCGTCACCCACCATCATGTCTTCTCTCCTGGGCAGAGGTGGACTAACAGTGACCTTTTCCTGGGTCTCGTTGGCTCTGTTGCTCCTCTGCGTCCCCGAGCGCTCACCGGGCCGGTCATTGTGATGCTGGCGGTGCTCGTGCCCTCTGACGAGCCTTTGGAACAGAGGCACGGGGCCGCCGGAGCTGTGCGGGTGGGACTCCGACCGGGGAGGCTGCTGCTGCTGCTGGGCCACCGGCTGGCTCTGGGTGTCCTGATGTCTCACGTCCGCATCTCGGATGATGGTGACAGGTCGTGCCTGCACTTGCTCCTGAGGTGCGCCCCTCCGCCTCGGTGGCTGATACTCCGAGCCCTGGCTTAAAATGCTAAAAATCTTGCCGTTGTGTGACCACTGTAGTGTATTCCGCAGAGCCGGTCTCTGGTTATTTCCTTGTTGTGTACTTGGATTTCTCTGAGACTGGGCAGCTTGCAGGATGAAAACAAATAAATAGACGCACGCATATGCGTAAAATGGCGTGCCAAATATGCGTAATCCCATTGTGAATGCAATTAAAGCAGACGGAATGAGACAAAGCAAATATTTCTAATGAGCCGGGGTTGCCACTTGTCTCACACTTAAATGTCCTTCATCTCTATTTGAAGGATATCCAGTGAGAAGAGGAGAAAGCTAAGTTTCAGTGTATCCGTGTAAACTCATATCGCTCTGCTCCTGCAGCCTGCAGATGCGCCCAGTGAGATGATGATGATGAGGAGGAGGAGGAGTTCAGCATTTGGAGTTTCTGAAACTGTTACACAAGTCTGGGTCTGGTGCTGCTGCTCATATAACCATACTGGATACGTGATGTCTGATCAAGTGTGTTTGATAACTGCTCAGTCTGGCCATGGAAAGTTGTTAATGTGTGTAAGTAACAAGCGACTTCATCCATGCACATTTCACTTAGAGTTTTATGAAAAACAGTCAGACACAGAAACAGATGCCAACTTTCATGTGAAATCCACCCTACTTGGTTGTGATTTTATGAGTTTATGAATATTATGACTAATTTCCTAGAAACGATTGTATATTATCTTCATTTTTTCTTTCTCTGTCAGATCAGCAAAATGTCATGATAAGTAGCCTTTTCCATGACTGTTGGATGAACTCCCAACCAAATTGCAACTCACTCTGCCAGAAGTCTCTACACTCATCCACTTTCTCATAGGAGGATCTCAGAAACCTAAACATGACTCTTTGATGGGCCTGCAACATTTTCAGTATTTTTCTGGGAAATCATCTGCCTGCCAACCCCCCCCCCCCCCCCCCCTCCACCCCAGCCGCGCCTCACTCCTGTCTGCTGGAGCTTTGCTGAAAACGTGAGACTTATCACATGCATCTCACAGTAATCCTCTATAAAGTCATAATTAGTCTCTTTTGAGCAATAAACAAAATGAGGCTGTGGTGATACTTGATATCTGTATTACTGTGCCTGGTGGCAGACTGGTGACCCCAAGCTCCTCTCCTGATAAATCTAAATCATTCGCTGCAGCCCAGCTGCCCTGCTGTTAACATCAGAGGTATAATGCATAGCTTGGGAAACTTTATCCAACGTATTCATTTGGTCTGTCTAGTGAACCAGGAAATTCTTTCTAGCATCTACACAATTGGCCACAGGATGGCTGCTGCTAAACCACAACAAACGCTCGCAAGGATTTTACAGTTTCTGAGACTACAAAGTTTTATGAGAGCTATTGACTTAAAAGGAAAACAATGTAGATTATATCAGATGGATTTATGAGCTGTTATGAGTGAGATTCATAACAGCTCACAGGTTCTAAATGAAATCTCCAGAAATGCAGTTCAAGAAAAATATATAACAAAATAAAGCAGCAAAGGCTTTTTCCTGATAGACCCCAACTTCATGTCACAGATGATAACGGATGCAGCACAAAGTAAAGAGTTTCTGTAGTGTAATAACAGCTCAATTACAGTGTCATGTATCCTGGACACTAGGGGGCAGATGACTGAAAATGATACTGGACTTCTCCATGCTATTTTCTCTTCTCATCAGTACCTGAGGGAGTAGTTTAGGAAGTGAGGGATTATGGCCTTTCCTTAGACAAACTCCACAATCTTTGTTAGGCTATATCTTCAGATTTTGTTTTTGTCTTTGACATGAACTAGTGTCTAGAACCAAATCCTGGAGTAGCACAAATAGTGTTGAAACCAAAAATAGTTGCTGGTAGTAGCTACCTACAGACACTGTACAAATCTGGCTCTCTTTATCTATGAACTTGAAAAAATGCTAACAGCAACATTTGGAGCAGTTTTCTAACCTTTATTTATCCAGAGTGAAGCTTTCTCTTTCAGGGATACTGCTCACAGTTGCACAGTTACCCACATTTAGAAGCTTCAGTTACAGTCTGATCCGTTTGCTACTCAGCAGCTGCACTTGAAAAGCTGGGGGTCTAGGTCTTTGCTCAAAGGCACCTCAGTGGTGGTATTGAGGGCTCCTCAAATTGATCCAGTCAGTTCTATGATTGAACTGGTGACAGTCTGTTCTCAAGCCTCAAGTCTGTTCTTCAGAGGAATAGTTTGACATGTTGGGAAATATACTTATTCAGAATTACATGAGAGGACTGATATCGCTCATTTTTGCCTGTTGATAATAGGCTGAGGCAACAGCCAGCTAGTTTAGCTTAGCTTGGCACAAAGACTGGAAAGAATGGGAACAGCTAGCTGAGGACTGTCTGAAGGTAACACATCTGGCACATGACACCCACTAAGAGTTGTCGTTTTTACATTTTGGTTTTTGTACAGATAGAATTTATGTTGCGGTTATGTTGTAACTCTCTGAAAACCACATTTACACCTTTAGATCTGGTTGTGTGAAGTAATTCATTTTGAGCAGTTATTCATTTTGCCTGTAAGCCACCACTGCCCCATTTAAAGGATCAAAAACATATTTTCTCAGTTAGCTTTTACTGCCAGCAATGGGGCGTCGCATGAATACCAAATTTTCTACCAAAGGTGGCAATGTTTTGGTTATTTCACATGAGAGATTCTCTGTTTCTGCTGTTTTTCCATTACTCCTCTCTCTTGTTTGAAGTGACAAATTTCTGTGCACCAACCAGGAGTCAGCAATATTTTAATCAAACTCTGAGGACAGTTGTACGGCTGTTTGCTTGTGTTGCCAGGACATTATCAGTCAGCCATACCCACACAGTCCTGGTGAAACAGATAATTGAAGGTTCTTCATAAATAGTAACTAAGGATGTTTTATTTTCCAAACTTTAAAGGTGCACTGTGGAGTTTTATTACAGTCATAGTTTCTGTGTTCATTGTGTTTAAATACACCAAATGCATTGTCTGCATAACAAATGTAAAACATTGGCAAAACCAACTCCAACTTTAAACCTATATTTTTTTACATCCATATTAACTTGCTAGGAGTCTTTGTCTTCTCTATCTTCATTGCTGCATTGCTGTGTTTATTGGCACTGTATCATCACCTGTCCATCACTGGCATAATGCGAAACCATTGGCAAGACTGTGACTGCATTGGACACATGCTCAGGTTAGTGCTACTAGTGGTCAAAAACTCCACAAGGCACCTTTAACTTTTTTTTGCATATTTTGTTATGAACATTTAATGTTTAAGAGAAATACTTAATGTGAAACTATTTCAGGAGCTTTAAAAGCGGGTTTGTGAATGAACATCGATCTATGATGCAGTGAAAATCTATTTTGCCTAAACAGTAGCTGCAAAGACATAAAGACAAAGAAAAAAGGCAGATGAAAATACTTTATTATCTGAGAATGGATTCTGTTTAATGGTAGAGTAAACAGATTAAATCATGCTGTAAATTACAGTTAATCTAGTTGTATTGTTCTTGGATAATGGAGGGCACACATCATCTCACAGTCACGTGAGGTTACATTTCAGCTTGTGTAAGCTGTGGGGACCAATCAGCGCCAAGTGGAGTTACATGAGCTCCTGAAAATGTGTCCTTCCTGCAGACTTATTTGAGTTATTCAAGAGTTACAGATGAAATGTTTGATACAGACACTGGATAAGGATGTACCCGTGGCTCATTAATCCAGATGAGCTAGAACATACTTGTGAAACAGATAATCACAAGAGTCCGTTTCTGAGGATTAAAAAAATGAAAAGAAAAGAATAAAAAGTTTTTGATTTATACAAGAACCCTTCCTAACTGAATCAGAGGATTGGATTTGACTGACTGCTCTTTTGTAAAAGGTTTCCTGTTTTGTCCTCAGAGATGCCCTCCAGCAGTATTTTCTTTCAACTATGAAGGATTTGTTTCCAGTATAACAGCTATGGATGCACTTTTTTTTTTTTGTCCAGTATGTGATTGTGTTTTTGCTAAGAGGATGACTAATGTACACTTCTGTGATTCTGCATACCAGCAGTTCCTCCAGAGAGTGAAAACGATGTGCATGTGTTCCTGGGTTGCCTCCTTTCTCTTCACTGGAACACCAGACAGACAGTCAGAACCAGCTGTACTCGGTCACCAATGTTTTTCACTCATAACTCGTTGAACTTTCTCCGTGCAGAGCCCTTTTTCTCTCCAGCGAGGGCAGCACAGTGTTCCCTCACACAGCTCAGAGGCACATCTGCAAAGAATTAGCCGAGTTCTTTTGTCCACGTTGCTGGAATTCACCCTCGTTCCTGATTTTTGGGCACTAGATTGAGCTAAAAGAATGTGAAGAAATCCACGTCTGAGTTGTAGAATAAGGAGGGAAAGTAGTGACTAGGTCTCCTGCATAAGACACGTCATTGTGTAAAAGGGGGAAAAAAAAGATCTCCATCCTTTCATGATGCTAAATTTACCATAAAACCAACACCAAATTTTCAGTGCCATCACTGAGTCAACATCTGGCAGACACTTGCCAATTTGCTTGAGACATGAAGCCTATATTTAAGCAGCCAATGTCTAGATTAAAGACAAATATAGTTGTTCTATTAAAAACATCATTTTATGATATAAAATCAACTTTTCTGCAACTTTGGTGGCTCAATTTTCTCAAATGAATCCTTTAAAACCTTTTAAAAATCCAGTTTCATAAGTATCTGTTTGAAAATAAGTATTGTTTTCTCCAGTTCTGATTTTTGTTCCCATTTGCTTTTAGTTATTCATTTTCATGTCATCATTATGAGCTCATCACAGAGAAGCAGGACCACACACATCTCTCAAAACATCCATGGCAAGGTGTCCTTTCTCTGATCTATTCCCAGCACTCTTATATCACATCACATCCCTCTACTTAAACTCCAGTTCTATCCCATAACATCTCTGCTTCTGTTAATCTCCTTTTCAGCTTTTTACACTCTTAGATTTACACTCTTACATTTCCTTCTGGTTGTAACGCTTCTGCAGAACTCAGGCTGTTCAGCTCAGCTCAAAACTCAACGACAGAAACAGACAATTCAAATATTTTCTCCTCTTTCATAAATACTGGGTTTCCATTACTCTTGGAGCACCAAGTCGGGGCTTGCACCACACACACACTTTCACTCATCACACACACACACACACACACACACACACACACACAGTCTGGTGGACTACGTGGCACTCTGCACATGCACTGTAGTCTCTGTAACCAGGAGGAGGAGCGCTTTATCTAGACACAACCCAGAAAACTTTACGTTGTGTGGTGACTCATGCAGTTGTACTTTTTCATTTTCACT